GTTGAAATGAACGAACAGGAAAAAAATGATTGAACTAACAGTGAAAGCAGTACAAGTACCTAACCCTAGAATTGTGTACCCCCTATAGGCTAACCCACTGTAGCCTAAACAAGCACAACATATATAATGTTTGACAGTGGGAAGGCATGCATGCATGTATGAAGTGGGAAGGCATGCATGCATGTATGAAGTGGGAAGGCATGTATGCATGTATGAAGTGGGAAGGCATGCATGCATGTATGAAGTGGGAAGGCATGCATGCATGTGTGAAGTGGACAAGCATGCATGCATGTATGAAGTGGAAAGGCATGCATGCATGTGTGAAGTGGGAAGGCATGCATGCATGTGTGAAGTGGACAGGCATGCATGCATGTATGAAGTGGAAAGGCATGCATGCATGTATGAAGTGGGAAGGCATGCATGCATGTATGAAGTGGGAAGGCATGCATGCATGTATGAAGTGGGAAGGCATGCATGCATGTATGAAGTGGGAAGGCATGCATGCATGTATGAAGTGGGAAGGCATGCATGCATGTATGAAGTGGGAAGGCATGCATGCATGTATGAAGTGGGAAGGCATGCATGCATGTGTGAAGTGGACAAGCATGCATGCATGTATGAAGTGGAAAGGCATGCATGCATGTGTGAAGTGGGAAGGCATGCATGCATGTGTGAAGTGGACAGGCATGCATGCATGTATGAAGTGGAAAGGCATGCATGCATGTATGAAGTGGGAAGGCATGCATGCATGTATGAAGTGGGAAGGCATGCATGCATGTATGAAGTGGGAAGGCATGCATGCATGTATGAAGTGGGAAGGCATGCATGCATGTATGAAGTGGGAAGGCATGCATGCATGTGTGAAGTGGAAAGGCATGCATGCATGTATGAAGTGGAAAGGCATGCATGCATGTGTGAAGTGGGAAGGCATGCATGCATGTGTGAAGTGGACAGGTATGCATGCATGTATGAAGTGGAAAGGCATGCATGCATGTATGAAGTGGGAAGGCATGCATGCATGTATGAAGTGGGAAGGCATGCATGCATGTATGAAGTGGGAAGGCATGCATGCATGTATGAAGTGGGAAGGCATGCATGCATGTATGAAGTGGGAATGCATGCATGCATGTATGAAGTGGGAAGGCATGCATGCATGTATGAAGTGGGAAGGCATGCATGCATGTATGAAGTGGGAAGGCATGCATGCATGTATGAAGTGGGAAGGCATGCATGCATGTATGAAGTGGGAAGGCATGCATGCATGTATGAAGTGGGAAGGCATGAATGCATGTATGAAGTGGGAAGGCATGCATGCATGTATGAAGTGGGAAGGCATGCATGCATGTGTGAAGTGGGAAGGCATGCATGCATGTATGAAGTGGAAAGGCATGCATGCATGTATGAAGTGGGAAGGCATGCATGCATGCATGTATGAAGTGGGAAGGCATGCATGCATGTATGAAGTGGGAAGGCATGCATGCATGTATGCAAGGAGCTGCAAGGAAACACTACCCTCATCAAGCGACACTTTTTTGTGCCATTCTTTTGCAGGTGGACCTTTAACAGTCGTTTCCTCCAGTGTCACACTGATAAAAGAAGCGTTTAGAGATTTCTCAACATACTTTCGTGTGCCACTCTTTTGCAGGTGGACCGTCAACAGTCTCCTCATCAAGCGTCACCCTCTTCTCAAATGAAACAGGGGCGTTTCAACCCTACACCTTCCGCCTCAACATCACGGGCTGCACCCAAATCCCGGAGGCACTGGCAAGAAAGGCCACTATAATGTGTATGCTTCACAATGTGGGCACTGTTCGGAATTGCCCGGCTGTCAACATCTACTCAAAGCCTAACTGTGAATCTCCATACGCATACTATGATTCAAAGTCGCTTATGGCCCGATGCTTCCCGTGAGTAATCAGTCCCTTTCCACCCCGGCCGCACGGAGCCTTTTCACTTCCTGTTTTGCACCAGTCATCAGTGACAAACCCTTTTTAGGAGTCTATTCAATCCCCCCCCCCCCCCTCTCTTTCCCCCCTCCCCCTCTCCCCCTTCCTTGTTACTGTTATCCAGGGACAATTTCGCTCTGCGTGATTACAAGTATGTTATCTCTTTGGGGTGCACTGCCATTGTAGAGTTCCCCAAATGATGACCCCCTTAGGGTTCAGCCGTTGAGAATAGAATCTACTGCATATTTTCCTGTGGTTTGTCCAAGCTACTCCTCATTCATGTTCCAGTGGTTCAGTAAAATAAGTTTCTCATCCTACCACAATTGATTTCTCAAAGCCACCCTGCATCCGGCACACACAAACATAAATTTCTCGGTGATAATTTTACAGAAAAACATCAAACAAGGGGAGGAACTAAAAGGCAAGCACTGACATGGCATGCTGCCAAGGCGGAACACTCACACACTGCCAAAGAGGCTTTCTTTTTCACACACTGAACGACTTAAGCATTTTTCTGAGCTTGGCTTCACCGGAAGCCCACTGCTTGTCGTTTGCACTGATCACCAGCAGCAGCACAGTGCTGCCCTTGGCCGTGGCAGATGCCAGGTTGTAGGCGCCTGAGCGTGCGTAGGGCGTCTCCATGTAGTACTCGTAGTACTGTGGTGTGTGTGGAGGGAAGGGGAGGAGTGGGGTGGGAGGAGAGGGGATTGTGAAAGAACATGATTCACACAGCTTTCAGCAGCAGCACAGTGCTGCCCTTGGCCGTGGCAGATGCCAGGTTGTCGGCGCCTGAGCGTGCATAGGGGGTTTCCATGTAATACTCGTAGTACTGTGGTTGGTGAGAAGGAAAGGGGAGGAGGGGGGAGGAAGGGCGGGGGGGAGGAAGGGATTGTGAAAGAACAGGATTCACGTAGCTTTCAGCAGCAGCATGGTGCTGCCCTTGGCCGTGGCAGATGCCAGGTTGTCGGCGCCTTCACGTGCATAGGGAGTTTCCATGTAGTACTCGTAGTACTGTGGTGTGTAGGGGAGGGGGGTGGGGAGGTAAAGAAAGGGTTTACATGGAGAATGCTTTTAGTGGGGATAGGGTGTCTCCATGTAGCACTCGTAGTACTGTGGTGAGGGGGGTGGGAAGGGAGGGAAAGAGAGGTTTTACATGGAGAATGCTTTTAGTGGGGATAGGGTGTCTCCATGTAGCACTCTTAGTACTGTGGTGAGGGGGGTGGGAAGGGAGGGAAAGAGAGGGTTTACATGGAGAATGCTTTTAATGGGAATAGGGTGTCTCCATGTAGCACTCGTAGTACTGTGGTGAGGGGGGTGGGAAGGGAGGGAAAGAGAGGGTTTACATGGAGAATGCTTTTAGTGGGGATAGGGTGTCTCCATGTAGTAATCATAGTACTGTGGTGTGCGGGGGGGGGGGGGGGGGGGGGGGGGGGGGATTGGGAGGGATTTGGGAGGAATCTTATCAAGTGGGAGATCTTTATGTAAGTGGGAGAATTTTATCCCCGTTACAAGCACTCTAAGAACGCCCAGGCGTCTCCATGTAGTTCTGCTGGTACTGTGGTGTGCGGGGGGGACTGGGAAACTGCGAGTTATACATGAAGAGTGCTTCCAGCCGCAGCACAGTGTTGCCCTTGGCAGTGCCTGCATAGCTATGCTGTGAAATGTGTGGGTGTTGGGACAGAGTTGAGAGGAAGTGTGAGGGAAGCAAGGCTGCGTGTCCGGCATATTGGAATTCTCAAAAAACGTGTCCACAACCTTGCATGGAAATGGGCTGCTTGTCATGTCAATCACATGAAGCAGCCCATTCTTACCTAGCCCCTTAACCGACAAACCAATCAACCTCAACCCCCCTCACAAGAAAGAGCACTTACCATCTAACCGCCCTCCTTACGAACGCGCATGTCCACCCACGACCTCGGCTGGGTCAGACCCAAGGAGCACCACTTTGTGGTGGGAGACATTACGAGGCAGCGGTTTCTTTAGAGCAAAAATAGGTTCAGAGAGATTTCAGGCGTGAAAGCCTGGTTGTAGAATGGTTTCTTGTGTAAATCAAATGGTGGTAACTAGTTTCGGCGTAATCGCCTTCGTCAGACCACAAGAAAGAAATTAGCCTCCCGAGGTTTATATACACCCCAGGCTGACTCGGCTTCCCTACAGTAACTTGAATCAGGCTCAAAAATGAAATTCTACAGTAAAACTAACTTCAGCACTTACGAGCAGAAACTAAAAAGCTTTCAACTCATAGGCAATTTCCATGCCAAGATCGCCCTCCGTCTTGTAAAAATGCCGCGTGACATTATATCCAGGTGACTTTTGAGTCGACTCAAAAGTCACCGTGTACACCCACGACCTCGGCTGGGTCATATGAATCAACGGCCCGTCGGTGGCGTGTCCACCCACGACCTCGGCTGGGTCATATGAATCACCCGCCACCAACGGGCAGAGCGCAACTATGATGTGCCTCCACCTCCCCCCTCCCTCTCTCCTCCCCAACCCTCCACCTCCACTTTCACAAGCAAAGGCACTCACCGTCTACCATCTCTCCTTGCGGATCCGCGTGTCAACAACTTCATCTGCATGGAAAAGGGTTGTTTGTCATGTCAATCATATGAGTTGACTTCTGAATCAACTCAAAAGTTGACGTTTGAGTCGACTCAAAAGTCAACTCTGCACGTGGTCACGACCCTCGCATGGAATAGGGTTGTTTGTCATGTCAATCAGATGAAGCAGCCCATTCTTACATGTCAATCAGATGAAGCAGCCCATTCTTTCATATCAAAAGCCCCTTGTCAACCGACTATCCAGTCAACCTCAACAGCCCCTCCCCTCCCCCTCACAAGAAAGATCGCTCACCGTATGGCCAACCTCCTTGCGAATGCGCGCATCGAACCGAATCGACGACCTCGTCCGGGTCATACGAGTCGTCCGTCACAACGGGCCGAGTGTGATGAGACGAGTTTTGAGACGACTCAAAACTCGTCCCAGCGCCACTATGATGCGCCCCTATCCCCTCCCACCCACCTCACACCCTTTACAAGCAAAAGCACTCACCGTCTAACCGCCCGCCTTGCGAATGCGCGAGTCAACAACTTCGTCAGGGTCGTACGAGTCGCCCGTCACAAGCGGGCCCTGCGCCGCTATGATGCGCTCCGGGATGCAAACTTCCTCTCCTCTCCAATCAGACTAACTATACGATGCAACCCATTCTTACACATACACACGGCTCTCACCGCCTGTACTCCCCTTTTTTACTTTCGAGTCGACTCTAAAGTCATTCTTACACATACACACGGCACTTACAGTCTGTCTGTCCTCCCCTTTTTGCGAATGCGCGTGTCAATAACTTCATCGGGGTCATATGAATCACCGGTGACAAATGGGCCGGGCACTGCTATGATCCCCCCCACCCCACCTTTCCCATTCCACCTCACAAGCAAAAACACTCACCGTCTGGCCGCCCTCCTTGCGAATGCGTGTGTCCACCACCTCATCAGGGTCGTATGAATCACCGGTGACAAACGGGCCGAGCGCCGCTATGATGCGCTCTGGCGTGCCGATCTCCTCGATGGGCAGCTCGAGCTTGTTGGTCAGGCGTACCATGGGTGATGCCACCACCTGGAGAGTGTGCATAGGCCAGGATAAATAGAGGGAAAACAGGCTGAAGAAGGTTGAGCATAGCAAGCAGGCATGCCGATCTCCTCGCTGGGCAGCTCCCAGCTTATTGGTCAGCCGCACCATGGGTGATGTGATGCCACCACCTGCACACAGAAGCAGCACCGTGCGCACACGCCAGGGAATACGGGAAATGAGCCAAGGAATTCTCAAGGAGTGGGCTCCTTGAGAAGGCCTAACAGCAGCACTGCACACAGCAAGCAGGTGTGCCAACCAATCGCCTGGATCCACTCAAGACAGGTGAGAGCGATGGGATTTTCATTGAGGTCGTTTCTGGGGCGCCTCAAAAACGAGAGAAGGCCTAACAGCAGCGCTGAGCACAGCAAGCAGGTGTGCCAACAAATCTCCTGAATCCACTCACGACAGGTGAGAGCGATGGAATTTTCATGCATGGGCGAGCATTAGCTACATCTATTCAAGGCCCACGAATGCCCGTACCTGCAGCAAGCCCTCCCTGGGGTCTTCAAACTTGACTTCGATCCACGGCTCGGCGCACTTGGGCTGGCAGTAGTTGCCCGAGAGGATGTTGGCGATGCGCGATTGAGTCCACGTGGGCGGGATGTTGAACGTGTAAGGGGACACGTTGCCTGTGAGACGAGGGACAGTGGAAGGGGGGAAGGGGAACTTTTGAGTCGACTCAAAAGTCACCTTGAGACGAGGGATAGTGGAAGGGAGGAAGGGGAATACAGGGAGTGGGAGGTTGGGACAGGACCTGTTTTTTTAGAATTCTCAAAAAACACGACCTATGGTAGGAATGATGGTTTGAATTCTGCAGATTCTTCCGGTTTTTGAGAATTCTCAAAAAACAAATTCTGGAGATTCTTCCGTTTTGAGGCGCCTCAGACATCCTCCTCCCTTCACACACGGCTTGGGCTGGCAGTAGTTGCCTGAGATGATGGTGGCGAGGCGATGCGCGACTGTGTCCACGTGGGCGGCGGGGGGGGGGGGGTGGTGTGGGATGGTGGATGGGTCCACGTGGGCGGGATGTTGAACGTATAAGGGGACACGTTGCCTGGCAAGGGGGGGGAGAAGGGGCGTTGGAAGGAGAGGGGAAGGGAACCCAAACAGGGAAATGAGGTAGAAGCAGGCGCGATTGCGTCCACGTGGGCGGGATGCTGAACGTGTAAGGGGACACGTTGCTTGGAACGGGGGGCAACTCGAAAGTCGGGGGGGAACGGAGGCTAAGGGAAGGAAGGTAGGATGGGAGACCAAAGGAGAGGAGGGATTTTAAAGGTGGAGGGGGGGTGTTGAACGTGCAGGGCAGGGCTACACGCTGCCTGGAAGGCTTTTCGACGCCTCAAAGGAGGGGGGCCAACGGGGAGGAGCGATGGTGGAGGGGGGTGTTGAACGTGCAGGGCAGGGCTACACGCTGCCTGGAAGGCTTTTCGACGCCTCAAAGGAGGGGGGCCAACGGGGAGGAGCGATGGTGGAGGGGGGGTGTTGAACGTGCAGGGCAGGGCTACACGCTGCCTGGAAGGGGGGCCGAGTGGGGAGGTGGGGAAGGGAGGGAGGAGGGTAACTTTTGGGAACTGTCAAAAGTAACATCAATATAGGAGATAAGGAAAAAAACGATGGGGAGATTCCGTGTGTGAAAGGATGTCTTGATATAGCCGAGCGCTCGAAAGCGAGAATCCGGAATCTCTCAAAGGCGCGTTGGAGGTCTGGTCATTCTTTCTTGGCCTAATAGTGAGCCTAGGAGCACACGGCGAGGCTTGAGTTTTTTTTTTCTTTCTTTTCTTTTCTTTTCTTTTTTTTGAAACCGCCGGATGGCAGAGGGGAATGTGTAAAACGGAGATGCAGGATTTTGTGATGGTGTGTGTGGGTGTATGCGTGGTGGACACGGGAAGAAGAACGGGACAGAGGAGGTGAGGGGATAAGTTATGCGAAATGGAAGGAAATGCCTTCAACGTGGAGGAGTAGTCGGAGGGTTGCCGGCTGAAGGAGCAGCGCGGAGAGAGGAAAAGGGGAAAACGGAAAACGGAAAAGAAGTCGACGTACTTAACGCATTATTACCTTCCTGAACTAAAATTTTCAAGTCGCTCCATAATTTAAAAGGGGCTCGATCATAAGACATAATCGATTGTAACGATATTTTCCGTCCCTTTCATTGTCCTCCATAAAGCTGGCCATGTTCCTTGCCAATTATTTGTGAGGGTAAGTGAGGAGGGAAGAATGGCTGGAAAAACGCTACCAAGGAAAAAGAGCACAAGAAAAGAGGAATAGATAGTAGTCTTCTTACCTGCTCTAAGAGCAGGCGTGTCCTTCATTCCCGGAGTAAACACGACAAATTCGCCATCCTCGGATTTCGGCAGGAACGCCCCGACCTGCTTCGGTACCGTTATAGCGAACGCTTCACTAACGGGTACCATGGGAGAAAGCGCCGCGGCAGCCATTGACAGCAAGACGCTCCGGCGGTCCAGCTGCGAGTTCACGTCATCGTCGCGGGATGCTGAGCTGGCAGCAGCACGCGTGAGACGACGTGGCGAGAGTTTTGCGGCGGAGGGCTGATTGTTGGCGGCATGTGAGACGAAATTGTGTTGGAGAGCGAGGGACGGGTTGGAGATGGACGAAAGCGAAGCTTGAAGAGCCGCCATGACAATTAGTTATCAGAAATTACAAGCAAGAAATATACCAGCAGAAGGTGAGGTGCTCGCAGAAACAGCAGTGCTACCAGGAGAGTAGCTTGCAGCACAGGTTAATTCAGGCCTGCGAACTACTGAACAGTATTTAGCTAGTTCAGGACATATAGCAGGACCAGGAGAGCAGCGTCACAGCAAGCTTGAAGCACAAACCTTCTGCCAACAAAAATATGTATTTTGAAGATCGCCGACAGGCTAGCTTCCCTGGGGTGAACTTGTTCAAGGCAAATGCATCTGGCAGTCAGCCATAGATGGTACGCCAACCTAGTTGCATGGATCTTGCCGTTGACGAGCTAACGAACCAATGGTTACTAGTTTGCGAAGCGTCATCAAGAATACGTCACCCAGTCAAGCCAATGGGGTCCGGGAGGTGACGAACGAAGAAACGTTTGCGATGTGACGAACCTCGCGAGCCATTGTAACGAGCAGCGTTACGCCTAGGACGGCGTCGTAAGATATGGCAGAACAGCGTGACTGGACGAATCACAAAAGGATTTTTGGTGCTGGCGTGGCAAGCAGGCGACGTGTCCATGTAGTGTCCTAATACTGGTCCTCGATGACGTGTAATCCAGAAGGTCATCCAGAAGGTCGACAAGATTCCAGGGCAATTACGTGCTGGATAAAGAAGCAGTGGGGCCGATGATCTGGCAGAGCACATTCACATCTACCGTACATGAAATGAAACATACGGTATGCTAATTTTGAATCTTCTGTTATTTCCAATACAAATACTAAGGCCATCCAAAAGGAGCGGAAACTCCCTACCCAACCCAGCTAAAAGGCTACAGCTGACCCTATCAATGTGTCTCTCTGAACCACTAACTCTGGAAAATCAGAAGCCCAAGAAGGCATACACAGGATCCTAAGATAAGATCCGGAAACTGGTGAAGTCTGATGCAAATCCTTTACCTCTCACCAGCGGAGCCACGAAGTGGTGCTACTGACGCAGCAAAGCCATCCCAAAGCCTGCGCTAGCCAGCTTAGGCAAATGCTCCGCAAGAGGATACTGGAACCCAAATTGTTGTCTCACCAGGCGTGGTTCACGTTAGGCTCCGAATGAGTCTTGGATCAGATCCTGGGCCAGCCAGCATAGGCAGCGTGATGGAGTTGACATTAGGCAAGAGCGCTGCTGGCGATCCACATTCACAACTTGTGAATGAAATAGCCGCTGTGGTAACCGAGGCCTTGGCCAGCCCAGCCCTTTCAGAAACATGAAGGTTGCATCATCCAACACATGGATTAGCAGACTCAGCTTGCCTGGTCGCTGTCAGGGCAGATCAACAGGGATCCGCTGGCTCCCCTTCCTTTGCTGATGACATCATGCCGAACCCAGCTCAATAGGGTTCCACGGGTCGCTGTTGGCTTAGGATGACTGGGAAGGAAGGAAATGTGGATGTCATCGTGACTGGAACAGAAGGGTTTCCTGCATCCAGTTTCGCACGATTTTTTCAGGATGAGCAGGAAGGTACAGTTGATGTCATTGTCACCGCCCCGCACGTCTTCACAAATGGAGGGCCGGCCTTGCACACCCGCATCACCACAGGCCCCTGAACCACCTTTCCCATGAAATTCGGAAACTGGAATTTGTACTGCCGCTGACAGCCCCGCCCAGCTTTTCCTTTACTCAATCGAATGTAACGCTTGTTTTTATTTTTAACCACTGTAACATATTTCGATGTAGGGGGTGTAGGGCAGGATTTCCCCAGCGGAATTAGCACGGCCGCGACGTACGGTCCGGTTTTGCACCAGGGAGTGAAGGTTGGGAATTTCGCCATTCCCGTTTGCGCCGCGCTCCGCACCTGCCGCTGCGCGGAGCTGGCGCTCTGGCTGGCATCTTTGGCTGCGGTTTGCGCTCCCTGGCTTGCAGCTTTCTGCGCCGAATTCGCGCTTCGAGCGGCGTTTTTCGAAGCCGAGCTGGCGCTTTTGCCCGTGTTCCGTTTCGCGGAATCGACGCTCTTGCTGGCGCTCTTCCCAGCTGACGCCGCGCTCTTCTGCATGTTCTGCTGAGCTGTCATGAGGTTCCGGCTGACGCCAGCCTGGAAAGATCCAGAGGGATTTTCCAGTGGCCGCGGCGAGAGGAAGGAAGGGGAGAGGGGGAGGTGCTGAACGGCGCGATTGAGGAGCTTGGCTAGCATGCGACGCAGGCGACCAGTGAACGACTTTTCGGAGACGGCTGAGTCTCGATGCTCGTCAGAAGCGAGGTTGAAGCGACTCGCTAGCACGCGACCAGGCGCCGACATGGAAGTTGAGTTCCCGCCGCTGCTGCCGTTATTGCTGCTGCCGCTGCCAGTGGTACTGTTGCTGCTCCCTCCAATCCCTCCATCGTCAATAGAACCACCCGTGGAATTCCCACCGTTATTAGCACCAGACGTGTTGTTCCCTGACGTGCTATTACCGGTGGTGGGCGGTGGTTGGTTAACAGGCGGAGAGTTAGGAGGCGGCGGAGGAGAGGGGTACTTGGGAGGCGGAGAGGGGGACGGCGGAGAGGGGGAGGGGGACGGGGAGGGGGAAGGGCAGGGGGACGGCGGCGGGCGCGGCGAGGGGGACGGCGGTGGTTGTGACGGCTTGATCGTCGCGTCGTAGAAGAACGTCACTGTGCTGCCGACGTCCGTCGACTGGATCTTAACGGTTGCTCGCAACAGCGTCTGTGGCGACGAGATTGTGGGAGAGGGGAGGGGGGCATCGGGTAGGAAAGGGAGGGAGGAAATAAGTGAGGGAAGGATCAAATCAGTGAACGCGAGCAGGGTTGACACGTGGAGGGGTGGTAATGGAACGCCTCTGCGACCGGTCGTCGACCGGACGCGCGGGAAACGAGGACGGCGTTTGTGCGGACGAGCGGGAAACGAGGACGATGGAGGGGGGTGAACTGAGGTGAACGATGGAGAGAAGTATGCATTTCCCCCATAAGGCGCTGAATTTCCTTTGCTTTTCCCCTCACACGATAATACCCCTCTGCGACCCAACCCATCCCTTCCTCCCCCACTTCCCCCCTCCCCCATTTCGCTCTCATCCAACTCCTCTGTTGCCTTTGCGTACCTCGCCGACTGGTAACATCGCGATGGCGAGTTGCGTCGCCATTTTCGTCCCCGCGAAGATTAGTCGAAATGGCGACAGCGGACCAGACCAACCTCTTCTGCCACCATGGCGGCTATAATCTCGAGAGCCCGTAGTACTAGCAGCTGATCCTGGATTAGTAGCACCGTTGCTCGTGCCGCAGGGGTTACTGCTCTGCTGCTGCTTACTCGCAGCGCTGTCCGCCAGGTGCGCTCCGGCGGAGATTAAAAGGTTCGCGGTGTTGCCCCATCCGAGCCGCCGTCTAGAAGGCGTGTCTAGACTCTCCGTGAATGCCGTCGGGTCTGACCCGAAGGCGTGGCCCTCTACTAGCTGGTCCGCAGACGCCGCTCGAAGCGAGGTGATAAATAGGAGAAGTGAGAGGGAGATGGTGGTGATGAGACTGTCATGTCTCGAAGGCAGCCGCAAACCCATGGCTATTCTGTTACGAGAACTAGTGTAGACCATTCGCGACATTTTAAGAATCCGGAAGCCTCTCGGGTCGCGACTTGCCGAAGAGACCGCGTCTGACCAAGCTGCTCGTTCCCACTGCTCTGATCCAGTTCTCTAGACCTTAGAACGTCTGATTTCGAACTACCTAGGGTCAATCGACTGTGTTGCCGGGGTAGGGTAGGCACGGTGGGTTAAATAAGTCCGTAGGGAAAAGGTAAGAACACCTCTCGGCTCGAAAGTCGGTGCTTTGGATGTTACCAGGAAGAGGCGCCGAGTGAAAAGCTTGAGTCTATGGACGTCTTGCTTTTCGTTATGAAGCTATCCGCGCAAGCGATTACCTTTCTGGCTAACTCCGCACGGCACAGAACTCCTTTGAAAGATCATTCAGCGGAGATGATGATGAATCCATGGTCGTCGTTGGTGGTCTCGATAAACTTGTCCTTGATTGAACATCAAGGGCAAAATCAAGGGCAAGCAACAGCCAGATTATCTAAGGACATCACTAGTTGGGCGCTGGCGATCACAGCGAAAGGGTGGGGGCCATGTGCGAAGAGAGCGCGAACGATAGCGAAGTGATGGAGAACACGTTTCGCTGACGAGTTCGGCGAGTAAAAACAGATCGGAGGAAGAGTTTGAGGGGGGGGGGGGGGGGGGGGGGGGGGGGGGGGGGGGGGGTGAGAGAGGTGACATTCCCAGCAGGCACTGGAAAACGCGGAGGATGGTGGGTGGACTGTTGCGATGCGAGCGAGTCTGTGAACTATGGGAGGGAATTGTCGGAAGCGGAAACCTTCACGATCTATAGGGGGAACGAGGGAGAGGGGGAGGGGGGGATGAGAGGAAATATTGAGGGGACTGCTGCAATGTGACAAATCTCGCACATCACGCATCCGCTATCGCCAAATCAAGCCGATGCGGTTCGTCTGTAACATTCCGACCGTAGATACGTGTATTGCGATCCATCCACCCGTCCAGTTCCCAGCCCATGCCCCAATGGGAGTGGCAGGCAGGCATTATTCGGCTCGATTCCTTTGACTGACTAGTCCTGACGACCACGTTGTCGCCCATCACCACACCTCGGGCAGGAGAAGTGCACCAAGTGCTGCAGTCGAGAGAGGAAAACTTGGGAAACGAAAAATGTCGGCCGGTTTTCCACAGTAACGACGATGACCATGAACCGTTCGATGCTGTCGATGCCCTCAAGCATTGAAGCTACCCCGCAGGATCTGGTCGGCCCGGCTGCTTCCCCAACC